CTTTAGACACAATAGTTACAAGATCTTACTGGATATGCTTTTGGGAAATGGGATGCTCTCCGGCTGAATCAAGTAAACATGGGATATCTACAAGGCAAAAGCTTGGGTAACACAAGATAGTCATTCAGTCAACACCCAAAACTGCAGAAGCACTTTCCTTCAAACTGTTAATGCTTCCAAGTTTTGTATCTTCAGTAGTCACGCATGGATGTACGCCTTAGCAGAAGCAATTGTTGAGTGTATTTTGAGAGGAATCTGTCTGCACCCTTGGAGGAGATAGAGTAGGCTTCTGCCTGGCTTCTCATATCACAAGAGGTGGGCACCTCCTCATCAAAAGGTTATCACCTCAGGGTCTCAAGGTAAAAAGGAAAGCACAGGAAAATGGATGAGACTGGGCAGCTAATGCCTTAGACGAAACCAATTTTTGGAGGCTATTGGAAAGCTAATGCCCAGATTCAAGAACCTTCCTTGGAAAGTTAGACTGCAGTGTCCAACTGCATTGTAACTTGAACAATGTTCACGGCAACAGACACAGTGTTAGTTCTTCGTGTGAGCCGCCCACAACTCTCACCCTGGGCAGATGGGCAGCAGTCCTACTGGCACTGAACCTCACTTTGGTTCCAGCAAGCAAAATCATCCTACTGCTCTTTCTTAACTCATGTTCGGAATCACAGGCTACCCTCCAACTCCTGTGATCTGGAAAAGCAAACAAAACCACCCTTGAGAATCATGTGTGTTTCGTAAGCACTGCTTGGGTGCCAGCCTGGCTGTAGAGCCACCTGTATGGTGAGCACCCCAGGTGTCACTCTGACTAATCCCAGAAGAGTTCAACTTGCCACATGCAGGTAGTTGTGTGGGTCATGAGCCCACTAGTGACACAAATGGTTCGCTGCTTTGGGCTGGCGGCCTCCCGGGAGCTAACCTTACAATGACTTAACTCCTCTCCTGGAACTTGGCAGCTTAGGGCCCTGTTGGTAAGGATACTCATGTTACTGGTTTTCTGGAGTTTGTATTATGTAGCGTCTTGAGAGCTTGATTTGAGAATATTAATCGCCCTCATTTGTAATTTTGAGCCTTTTAACATTTCTAGCTGCCCCAGCAAAATAATTCTACCAAAAGAAAAGGCACAGAGAATGTCTTTCCCCATCAACTCCTGTTCACTGTTTAATCCATGATAGAAATCTTTCCTCTGGCATAATGAATCTGATTCGTCTCAATATTTACATGGCCTCTGCGAAGGAATAATCTATGTGTTTGGCTCTATGGCCTCAGCTCTAGTCTACCTGTCTCTGCCTGAACTCGGTATTATGAGGGACTGGCAGGTGTGATGGGCCACACGTGATCCCACCGAACAACAAACACAGCACCTACCACAATGTCAGGCACATAGCTGGAGCTCAGTAAATATCTGTTGAATTAATGTGAATTGAAATAGGAAACTCTTAAACCTACTCAGAAATAAGACCTGGTGATCTGGCATGTTAATATGTGAAATAAATCTAGGAGAGAGTTAACCCTTATCTCTATTTGTGAGACTAGTGCTATAGTAAGTTGTATTCAATTAAAAACAGTTTGTATTCCAGTTTCCAGCCATAATACCTTGGACTCTGATGGACTCTGAGTTAGGTTTTTCATGTGTTCTTTGACTTGCTTCCCTAATTTTCCGGAATAAAAGGGCAAACTGTGTGATTCTATGACTTTCATCTGCACTGTCACTGTGGCTGGAATTGAACAGAGTAGGAGCAAACTGAGCATCCATGATGTGCGACAAGAAAAGGCAGTTAGCAGATGCCGGCAATGAGGACACGAGGAATCTGGCTGCAAAATGAAAAGATTTTATTGGGCAAAGCAGCATCAATTTTTATATCATGGAAGCACATCAATGTTTGAACAACTCAACACGAAGAAAAAATCCATTTAACCTAACAGATTAGCTGACACACATTATCAGTAAAAACAACACCACAAAAGTCTTTTACGTTTGTCTGGGTTGGTGAAAACATCTCCTTAGGTTGTCACAGGCTGGTACTTAAAATCAGGGAAAAGCCTGTCAGAAACTTAGCGGCTGGCAGAAAAATCAGCTGGCCCATAATTCTGCACAGGTGAATTTGAGAGAATTTAATATTATGTGCTTCAAGAAAAATATAGACTGTAATTTAGCTTTTTAACTTAGAACGTTAACTGTATTTGTGCCTCAGAAAATGGCAAATAGAGCGGCAAATTCTGGCGACACTAAGAAGCCAGGCGGCTCCGCACCTGGAAGGGTGTGCATGGCCAGAGCGGAGAGAACATTCCTTCCCGGCTGGAGTGGTGCAGGCCCAAGGACAGACTCGGGCCCAAGGACAGACTCGGGCCCAAGGACAGACGCTGTACCCACAGGCCAAAGGGAAAGAAGCCAAGTCACGAAAGAGAAGCGGCTGGCCTCTGCGTGCACAGGAAAGAGGGGCAGAGACTGGAGCAACAGCAAACCAAAGAACATTTATTATGTGCAAGAGAGAGATGAAGACAGGGGGAACAGGGCATATTTTATTATAAAATATTTCAAACATACATAAAAGTCCAAAAAATAATAAAGCTTGTATATCCATCAACTAGATTTACCCAGTATTAACATGGAGCCATACTTTCTTCAGTACCTTTATGCAATAAAAAGTTATATATACAGTAGGAAGCCCCTATGAATCCCTTCCTAAAATTTCTATGAATTTGGTATGAATCTTTTATGCCAAGCTTATTTGGAAGGAAGAACTTAGAGGAAAAAAATAAAACTACCCAACCTAACAGAAGAGCAGTAAGCAAACCAAAGTGGAGGCAACAAAGGCCATCACAGAAAACGCAAAGGAGAAGTTCTGTTAGGAAAATACAAGAGGCTGTCCTCTCTCCCCTAAGTCTAGCCTTCACCGTTTCCTCTCTCATAGTGTTTATCTCCGACAGACTGTCTCTGAAAGAGAAAAATTAACTATCATTATGCCGTAGATAAAAACTTGGTCACCATGGTTCTTAATTTCTAAGTACAAGCAAACCAAATATTCACGTTTAACTTAAAGTATATATTAAACCAGAGCTGCCAGTTAAAAAAGTTAGCCGCCACCACAGCAGTGCTATGTGAATTACAGCTGTTTGTACTCTCCTCCACACTTATAAAATATAGCTGTTTACACTCTCCTTCAAATATAAAAATACTATATATTAACTTGTATGCTGAAGTACTTACTTACCACTTGTGAGTAAAAGATTAGTTTTATGTTCTCACCACATCACTCCCAGTATAGCAATTTTACAATTACTAACAAAACAAATTTCTCCAGAGATAATCAAATTTAAAACACATTTTCTCTATCTCTAAGAAGAATAACTTAAAATATTAAATATTCATTAGAATGAAGGAAATATGCTTAACCATGTATGTAACCCCTTAGTTTCACACACTTCAGAATTGATCTCACCTAAAGACACTATAGCACAGCAGACAGGTAAGCAGCAGGGGGCAGCAGAGAGAACTCAGCTTTGAGAGATAAGACCTACTTTCAGTCTGTGTGTGTGATTTGGGGCAGCCATTTAACCTCTCTGAGCCTCAGCCTCCTCACCTATACAATGGGGTGGTACTTCCTTTTCAAGGTTATTGTGAAAATGAACTATATAACTAGATGTAAAAGTTCCTTTTAAATAAGGCACTATCCAAATATAAGGTATTCCAGTGTATTCAAATGTAGAGAAAACATGTAGTTATTCCCACGGTAGGAGAAAAGCCAGTTCAACCACTATGCTTTAAATCAAGTGTTTTTTTTAAACTAATGTCTTCAATCTATTCAGAAACAACAGAAAATACAGGTTTCATCTGAAGTTGTGTGTGTAAGCACTCTCAACATCTTTAAGAAAAAGCCTATTATACAGATAAAAAGTAAAAGCGCATACAAGTTAATCAACTTGACTGGCGCTAGGACTAAATTCCAGAAGTTCATGTCACTGCATGTCCCTTAATCTATGAAATTAAAATTATCATCAAAGATTTTAAACCTAAGTACACAGAACAGCAGTCAGTATTAAAACTTAATGCATGAGAAAGGACCGAATGTTGCAGTTGCCACTGAAGTCAGCATTAGTTAAACCAAAACTCGTAAAGGAACTAAATCATGAGAACCAAAACTGTTGATCTTGCATTAATGACATTTACCTTACAACTTAGCTATTACTTTCTTAGAAACAGAAACAAAACACTAGTATGGAGAATGTTTGACTCGAGCAGTCATCCACCCGAGACCAGTACAAGCTATTCACAAAAGAGGTCTGCCGTAACCGCACTGCAGCCAGCAAGAGGGCACGTGTAAGGCAGTCAAAGATCCTCTGCTTTTGGCTGGAACCACATCAACTCAAAGTGATGAGGACAACTTCATTCTGATCAGAAGTTCTAACTGGCTATTTATTGATCAAAAAGTAATTTCTGAGGAACATCTTAGAACAAAGGATCCCAGACAGTAACAGGGGACTAGAGGAACTATTGTTTAAAACTCACCAATCACGTCTTTTAACCACCAAAATCACCACAGCCAAAAGAAGAGAGTATGTTTTGTTTCAAATGCAATATACTATCAGTGCGGCCCATTTTCCATTCTTGGTCTCTTGGAACATCTTCACAAAAATGTAAACATTGGTATAGCAATGCACACACGTTGGCATTAACCTCACATGTAGACACAAAGAATTTCAGGCTAAGCTTTACCTCACAGCAGTTTTTACAAGTTCCTCCACATGTCAACACGAGCACTCTCAAAAATCAAACAACAGGAGGAAAGGTTGTTGCAGCCTGAACACTGTTGGGCTCAGTTCCATTAGCAGGGACAAGGAAAGATTATGCAATAAAACTTAGGAAGACAGCTAAAACATCACAACCAGGCCTCAGATCCTTAGATTACAAAATAAAGTACAGCCTTACAAAGAGAGATGTTTCACTCCATCAGCTCTACCCTGAGAACATGACTGGAGATGTCCTGTTGGTGGTTACAGGGGTGGCAAAAATATCAAATTTTACTTACTTAACTTTTTAACAATTTTTTCATTTCAATAAATTTATCTTGATTGGTTGGACTGTTTAAGAGGAAGAGAAGAATCTGTTCATGTTTTTCAACCTATGGATGAGAAAATAGTATTTAATTTCTCAAAATGTTAGGAGGATAATTTCACTTAAAGGAAACTTGACTCACCTGTTTCTGTAATTCTGAGCAGCAGCAATTCATCCTGTTCGTCTTTTCTGAAAGCAAAAAGCCATTAGGTTACACACATACAATATAAATAACAAAAATCCTAGAGTCTGAACATACACAGATCTACCCCTTAGCCATGGGTTCAAACCACAAAGGACTTGATCAATTAACTTTTCGTTTGGGCTTTCATGTTATCTGCTACTGTGTCCTGGATTTTACCAAATAAAATGCCCACATTTCCAAGGTTTTAGGCCTTTTGCCCATCATATATGGTGTATCTTTTTTTTCCCCCTTTATTGATTTTGGAGTGAGAGGAAGGGAGATGGAAAGAGAGAGAGAAACATCGATGAGAGAGAACATCAACTGGTCACCTCCTGCATGCCCCCCACTGGGGATTTGGCCCACATCCTGGGCATGTGCCCTGACTGGGAATTGAACCGGCAACCTCTTGGTGCATGGGTTGAAGCTCAAGCATTGAACCACACCGACCAGGCTATAGTCTTATCTCTTTTTGGTTGAGGGCAGGTCTGCCAAATCATCCTCTTATGAAATATCACAAGATCCAATCTCAAAAATGTGAGTTTTTCTCACTTTGATCAGGATCAAAAGTAAACTGGAAATAACTTTGAGCACTTGACATTTCTAAAGCTCTTGGCATCAACTCTATGGACAATGTTGCTGAGCCTGCTCTGAAGAAAATCGGGAATGGAAGGCCAGCTTCCATCCAGGAGGTTCCCTGAGGTGGCATCAGGAACTGCAGCCCTGCCCCTGGGTTTATAGAGGAGGAGGGTGAAGGAAATGTGGCCCATGCGGAGTAAGGAAAGATCATGTCAACTAAACTGACAACATCTGTTCCTAACTACACTTACGTTTGTTATTGAACTGGGAAAAAATACCTTTATTTTGAGCATTTTGCTTTTTGGATGCGATGTTTTTTGCCAGACCATACATCACCAGCTTATCAGTCAGACTGACAGCACCATTCTCTGAGTATTTCTCAACCGCCACGGTGTGAACATTCCTAGTAATTCCCTTGACAGAAAGCATCACAGTTTGATTCAACATAAAATTTTTTAGTAGCTCTATTACTAATTGAGAACAACTTCCATTCAATTCCATTAGTCCTGGAAAAAAAATTAAATATTAGAGTTAATCTTCAAGTCCTTTAAAAATGGTAACATTTAAATAAATTACCCAAGGATAGTAAGAAAAAGACTCACTGATTTGGGCTGTGTTTAAGTGTGCTTCGATGTACTACTGCTGTTTGTTGCATTAACAAAATCAGTGTAATATTCATGATCCCTGTTATGTGTCAAGCACTAATCTAGGTCTCAAGGGCCAAAACAGACAAATGGTGGCCTTTCTGGACACACATTCAAATGGGAGAGAGAGACAGGAATACTTTTCCAACTCCCTGAGTTAAAACCAAAGCAGATGATGAGGCGATCAGTGTGTTATTATCTGTGGGGGCTTCCAGGTAAAGAAATCAGGAAGGAATAAGAGTAAAAATCTACTTTAATACTTTAGTTCACTTTATACAAATCCCAACAGAAGAGTTGAATATATGCAGATGATGGTACACACAGTAAGGTAGCCACAAACAATGTCATCTGAATATCTCCTCTCTAAGACAGAGCAGTGACACAGCAGAAAGACCCCCACAAGAGTGGTCGGACAACCCCAGTTCACCCTGACCCTGCCACTTACTAGTTTTGCAACCTGGGGCAAAACAGTCTCTGAAACTTGACACTCTGATATTCCTCTGCAGATCCAAGATGGATCCACTGAAAACAGTTTTTGTGAGAATGAAAGAATAAAAGATATGAGATTTCTCTGTAAACTCTGCTTGATATTTAGTAATTGGGCAATTACTTGAAATGCCTATTTGATTCAGACTTAGAGCTATAAAACAAAGAAAAAAACAAAATAAAATCCAGAGAACCAAAAGTGGAAAGTGACTTGTCTACCTTCGAACGAACATTTGATAATTTGGAAAGGAAGCTGCAGGTGGCTGACAGAGATCGGCTGCACTCTGCAAAGAGGCAAAGTTTCAACGTTTCCATAGTCGGCATAGATCACTTTCACCTCAGCCTCTGATGCCCCCAGAACAACAGCACGGTACCAGAAATCATCATCTGGAAAATATAATGGAATCTCAAGTAAGAAGTTATACTCAATGGCCCTCTCCCCTCTCTTAAGATGGTTATTCACAGTTACACTTACATCACTTAGAAATTCACACCAAGATATCTGATTTCAAGCCCAAACATCCAGATTAAATATATAAGCATCACCTGTACTTTTTTCAGATCCTACTAAAAAGACAATTACAGGATTAAAATGAAAAAGGCACAAAATTACAAGGACAGAAAACAAGAGAAGACGGTGGAACATTGGAAGATAGAAAGCAAAGCTCAAGCAAAGATGTCCATAGGGAAGCTTAGATGCATCCCAGTTTGCATCTCAAATCCCCTGGCAGCCAAGGTTCAACAGTTGTGCTATCCATTCAAAAGCAGTAGTAAAGATGTAGCTATAAATGAGCAATGAGTAAAGGAAGCAGTTACTTCCCAAGACATCCAAATAGACTTTAGTTTATAAACACATTACACTTATTTTTAAAGTTCCTAAAGAGAATGATCAGTTCTATGTCCTCATGTTTTAGTAAAGCTCATAATGCTCTTCTTCTTCCCAGGCAAATGATCCTAGTCCTCCTCCAGAGAGGATGAGCCAGACCAATTATGGACTGAGGACCATGAGATAGAGCAGAGGAGGAAGGTGACCAAGAACACATTCTGACAAGCTATGCACTCAAGGCTGGTGACAAACATTCCAAGTAAAAGCTCTTAAAATACCAACATCAGAAGTCCCCAGTGAAACAGCACAGCAAGATCACCCTAGAGTGAAGGCCAGTGGTCAAGGGGCATAGCCAGTCCTTGCAGCTGATCAGCCTGAGTAAATCCCTCCCACTGACGTGCCAACAGCAATCAAGACTCAATTACAACAGAAAGGTGCACAGTCCACACTAGGGGAGCATCTTGAGGGCCCAGCTGGGCTGATCAGGGAGGCTGTGCCACTGGATTCTACAGGACCCCTATAACAATAGGCCACCCTACGAAGCCTAGAAGACATAGCAACTCTACCTAATACACAGAAACAATCAGAGGGAAGCAGTCAAAATGAGGAGACAAAGAAACATGTCCCAAATGAAAGAAAAGAACAAACTCCAGGAAAAAGAACTAAATAAAATGGAGATGAGCAATCAATCAGATGCAGAAGGCTGCTCAAGGAGCTTAGTAACACATTCAAGGAACTTAGTGAGACCTTCAAGGAACTTAAGGAGACCTCCAACAAACTTAGTGAGAACATCAACAACATAAAAAAGGACCAGTCAGAAATGAAGGATGCACTAACTGAAATAAAGAATAATTTACAGGGAATCAATGGTAAAGTAGGTAAAGCCAAGAAGCAAACCATTGATTTGGAATATAAGGAAGCAAAAAACACCCAATCAGAACAGCAAAAAGAAAAAAAGAATCCAAAAAAATAGACAGTGTAAGGAGCCTCTGGGACAACTTCAAGCGTGCCAACATTTGTATCATAGGGGTGCCAGAAGAATAGAGAGCCCAAGGAATTGAAAACCTATTTGAAATAATAATGACAGAAAACTTCCGTAACTTGGTGAAGGAAACACAAACACAAGTCCAGGAAGCACAGAGAGTCCCAAACAAGATGAACCCGAACAGGTTCAAGACACATCATCATCAAAATGCCAAAGGTTAAGGACAAAGAGAGAATCTTTAAAACAGCCAGAGAAAAGCAGTTTGTTACCTACAAAGGAGCTCCCATAAGACTGTCAGCTGATTTCTCAAAAGAAACTCTGCAGGCGAGAAAGGAGTGGTAAGAGATATTCAAGGTGATGAAAAGCAATGACTTACAATCAAGATTACTCTATCCTGCAAAGCTATCATTTAGAATCAATGGACATATCAAGAGATTCCCAGACAAAAAAAGGTTAAGGAGTTCATCACCACCAAACCAGTATTATACGAAATGTTGAAGGGTCTTCTTGAAGGAGAAGAACAAAAATAGGAATAAAATGGCAATTAATACATATCTATCAACAATTGAATCTACAAACAAAATGAGCAAACAGAACAGAAACAGACTTATAGATACAGAGAACTTTTTGTTGCTTGCCAGATGGGCGGGGGTGGGGGAGATGGGTGAAAAAGATGAAGAAATTAATAAGTAGAAATTGGTTGTTAGACTGATGAACCTCAAAGGGAAGAGGGGACGGAGGGCGGGATGAGGTAAACCAAAGAACTTCTGTGCATATATGCATTAACAAAGGACACCGACAACAGTGTGGGGAAGGCAGGAGTGGGACGAGATTGGGGAAGAGGGGGTCAATGGGGAAAAAAGGGGGAGACATCTGTAATACATTAAAAAATAAAGATGAGTTAAAAAAAAATAAAAAATTAAAGAAAGCAATTCATGTCCTTCCACTCCAGAATTCTATTCCTGAAAATTCAACCTGAAGTATTTACAGTTACCCAATTTCTACTCAAAACTATTCATAAGTGTTATTTATATTAGAAAAAATTTTTATTTGACATGAGATATTAAACAACAGTAGAATAAAGTATGCCTGGTTCAAGAAGTTTGACTCCAAGGCATTTTATTCATTTTTTTAGTACATTCATAGAGTTCTGTAATAATCTGCAATCCCTCCAAATGTAAATTTAACATTATTGATCCACCATATACAGTACTGTTATTTAGAGCTGGTTATCTGAAGTACTGATGAATTTTTACAATTTCTACCTATACCCTTGCCTAAATATAATCTGGGTTTATGGAAAAGCTGAATAACCCCAATATATGAATTCAACTGATGACCTTGTCTTTAATTTTTCTATCTAACTAAATGAAATACGCATCTAAAACATGATCCATATAATCTCATGTAAAACAGAACAGAAAAATGTTTTCCTTTAATATTTTACCTAAAAGAATCTTACTTGTGCCCACTGAGTGTGGCTCAGTGGCTGAACATCAGCCCACGCACCAAGAGGTCGCCGGTTCAATTCCCAGTCAGGGCACATGCCCAGGTTGTGGGCCCGATCCCCAGTGGAGAAGCAAGCAAGAGGAGGCCAACTGATGTTCTGTCTCATCGATGTTTTTCTCTCTCCCTCTCCCTTCCTTTCTCTCTAAAATCATTAAAGAAAAAAAAAAAGAAGAATTCCAATGAACTTCTGAAAAAAAAAGAATCTTACTTGTGTACTTGGCACAGCATGCATCTCCAGCTCTTGGTCTGTAAGATGATCGACTCTTCTGAACACTGCAATATTCTAACAATTCAGTTGTCAATACACACAGTTTTTCCTGATCTTCTAAAATATATCAAAACAATCTTTTGTGAAGAAATTTTCAATGCTATTAAATATAGTATACAAAACAATGCTAAATCTAATCACTCAAAAAAAAACCCCCTGTGTGTATTAAAATATACATTTATTTTTATGAATTAAAAAAACCCAAAAAAACTATTGGTTATCTTGTGCCAAAGAGATGCAATACTGGGAGGGGAACAAAAATGAAGCCTGTGGTGGGCTAATATCTTGATTGGATTGTTATACTAGTGTGTTCACGCTATGAAAACTTATTAAGCTGTATTTTTACAAGTTTTGGTGTACTTTTCAATGAGTGTGTTATACAGGCATACCTTGCACTTTAGTGTGCTTCAGATATTGTGTTTTTTTTAAATTGAAGGTAAGACCCTCCACCAGCCAAAGATTACAACTTGCTGAAGGCTCAGATGTTGGCTAGCATTGTTTAGCAATAAAGTATGTTTAATTAAGATATGTACCTTGTCTTTTTAGAACTAATGCTATTGAATACTTTAATAGACTACAGTATAGTGTAAATGATATTTTTATATGCATTGGGAAACAAATTCATGTGACTTGCTTTAATGCAATAGTCACTGTATTGCAGTGGTCTGGAACTGAGCCACATTATCTCTGAGGTATGCCTACAGTTAATAAAAGAAATACTTCCACTTTGTCATACCACATGTTATTGTCAGGCCTGAATAATACTAAACCCTTGCTTTCTACTCCACAGATTAAAGATGGTTATTCGTAATATTGGAGATCAATTTAAGCACAGTTTTTGGTATTACCACAATTCTAGGTTTGACAATTTGAAACAAAGGTTCATTTTTTTCAGCCTTAAAGTACCTACAAATTATTCTGAATAGCCACCAAACAAATTGCACTAACTTACCTTCTATACTACAAGGAGAAACACAAGTAACAATGAAGCCTTAATAGTAAAATTCCATGAAACAAAAAAGGAAAATTAAAAATACTTATATGCTACTTTTCTTCTTGATTAGGTCCAGTGTAAAACATTTTTCTAAGTTTCTAAAGATATAGTAACACTATGATTATAGACGAATTACAAAGTACTCTCAATATAAAAAAGTTCTGGTTCAAATTCTCTTAATGGCTGTAGATTAACTTAGTAAATATAATTCAATATAGGCAAACAAGAAACTCTACAGTAATAAAGAACACTGTTTTGTTATAAAAAGCTGCAGATTATCAAGATTAGGTTGACCAGGTAATGAATGCAGGGCACTCTGTTCATGTTCACAGTTGTGCTTTTATAAGTAAATTTGACTGTTATCAATTCTTCCTTAAAACCTTGAGACAAAATCATTACCCTCCTCCCATTCTCCCGGCTTCTAATGAGTTCAGATAAGCACTTTCATTCTAAAGCTTAAAAGATTAGCACAAACAGGTCTCAAATTTTAATTTCTTACCTGGCATCTCATTTGGTAGAGCATAAAACAAGTTCGGGTTTATGATTTCTAATATGCTTGCTTGTACAGTTTTATTAACTGGTAGTTCAATCGTCCTCCACTGCTGAGCTGAAGAGATGGCTGAAAATGTACCAAACACAGGCTCCATGACACAGATCCAACTTAAGTATTCTTTCCCAGTAATACCTTGACTCACTCATTTTTTTTTCATCAACTCTGATTATCAACATTCCCAAATTCCCAAAATGAAAATCTGCATTTTCACAAAACTATCTATTTAATTTGAGGGATTCTGTGAGCGTTACAAAAAACAAACAAAAATCAAGTCCAATCTGTCATGAGAATCCATGAGCTACTGCACGTCTGGAGTATTGTGCTTCTGTAATATACTTCCAGTTCTGCAGTATATTTAATAACTCTTAAAATTTATTCAAATATTAAGGGATTCATAGCTATGTGATGCAAGTGGACAATGGGTCCAGTGTTTAATAAAATCATGTGTCAATAAGTTAATATTAAATTAACTTTAGTAGCCTATTAGTAATCTATTTCCAAAAAGCTTATTTCTACAGAAAAATTGTTTCAGAATAGAAAATTCTGCATAGACTATAAAAGCAAAGGATACATTTAAATAACACATAACTGACTTAAAAATGTTACCTTGATGCCCTGGGGTGTCAATTTGAAGATCATGGTTATTGACAGGTCTGTTTTTTGCCAAGCCTTTTTGTGGTGAACGAACTTGTAAAGCCAGATGTTCCTCAATCAGAACATCACTAATTATTCTGGGATAACAAGTAGAAAGATCAGTGAGTTCAAGTCCCACTCCATTTTCAGTGATTTCCACCACTCGGGCTTGAAGTTTTATCCCTTCCACGCACATCTGAAATCTTGCAATGGCTTCCTTAGTCCATTGTTTGTTTCTAGGCTGTATATCTGGCAAATAAGAATAGCATTAAAAAGAACCATGCCAAAGCTGCATATCTGCTTCAATAGTACCCGGGACTGGGTCCCTGCCAAGTGCAGTATTCAGGCCAGCAATGTTGAATTTTAATACTCAATTCTGTATCCACCCCTCCATGCCTGAGTTACCAATAACGCATCTGCGATATACTGCTCAGGATCTTTCCTTCCTTTCACCACTAATGTATCTTCACCTGACACTTTTCCAATAGGCAAAAATAGAATTATTTTTTTTAGAAGCCACCTTTGTATTCTGTTATATACACAATGATGGGTGACCAATTATGCCGGTAAAAGATGTCAACCATACAATTTCACCTTTGTGAACAGTATTCTAATGATAATTTTAAAATATCATTTTAAAATTACTTAACCAAAAATTATTTCTCTTGGATAATTGTGGCTTATACCCTTATTCACAACAGTGATTCTCAAACCTGAGTGTGCATCTGAATTACCTAGAGGGCTTGTTAAAACAGATTTCGGGGCCCCACCTGAGAGTTTTCAATTTAGTAGTAGGTCTTGAGCAGGAAATGAGAATCTGGATTTTTAACAAGTTGTCTGTCATGTTGCTCCTGCTGGTTTGGTAGCCACATATTAAGAAGCATTAACATAAAACATGGTAATTAAAAATAATACTCTGAAACATACATAGTGCAAAATAACTTTAAAGAGAACAGATGAGCAAAAGAACAAATGAAAACTGTCTATCACCTTGGCCAGTTGGCTCAATGGTTGGAGCGTCGACCTGCGGTGCAGAGAGACCTGGGTTCGGTTCCCGCTAAGGGCATGTACCTCGGTTGCGGTTTGTCCCCAGCCCGGTTGGGTCATGCGGGTGGCAGCCACTTGATGTGTCCCTTTCACGTCGATGTTTCTCTCTCTCTCTTTCTCTCTCTCCCTCCCACTCTATCTGAACAAAAAATGGAAAAATATCCTCAGGTGAGGATTAAAAAAAAAGTGTCTATGCTTCCAGACAGACCACTGTTAACATTCTGGTGTCCAACCTTCCACAATTTTTAAGGAAATACACACATGCACATATATACTCATATTCTTTTATAAAGAAATGTTTATAGTAATAATAGCTATTATGGGTATATAATGCCCAGGCACTGTTAAGTGTTTTTTATATTTTCATCTTTTTTATTCCTGACTTTTTGAGGAAGGTATTATTATTTTGCAGATGAGGAAATAAAAACACATAAAGTTTAAATACTTTGCTTGAGGTCTCACAGCTAGTAGGGAGCAGTCGGTCCCACAGTCTGTCCCTCAATCTCAATGCTGCCCTGCACCTCCTTCATATGTTGCTTTCTTCACTTAAATCATGAACAATTCTTCATATCAATGAGACATATTTGACATCGTTTTATTGACCACACAACAACAACAAACAGTGAAATAGAACTTCCTGAGCGCCAGGCCCTGTTCTCAACACTCCTTTAATCCTCACAACAACCCATGAGCTAGATACTACCATTATCTATTCTATGGAGTATCATTTCCCCAATCTTTTCTTATTATTTAGGTTGATTTGCTATTATTAACAGCAGTGTAATAAGTTTCCCTGTAGGTGAACTTTGTGAAATGCCAAGGTTATTTCTTTGGGGTAAATTATGAGAAGCAAAATTCCTTCCTGAGAAGAGATCGGTTTTCGCTCCCATCACAGTCCAGAAAACCAGCCGCTTCTCTATGCTGACATCAAGAGGCAGTCTGGCAAGTATCTTTAAAAATACATTTTGAAATTTTATATTATAAAGCAAGATTTTCTAACTTATACAAAATATTAAAATTATAGATATTAACACTTATTAATTATGCACCCTAAGTAATAGAAGATAGTAGAAAATATTCCTTATTCTGCATCATACCTACTAACCAACACTGCATCCCTTGAAAGGGAAGTGTTAAAAATTCCAAAGGGATCATTTGGAGTTCATCTGCAGTAACTTCTTCGATGTTTCCATAATCCACAAAATGTACTTTGATGTTTCCATTTGGTACAATTTCCTTGACTAAAGCACGATACCAATTGCCATCACCTAGATTTAACACAAAGTTTGTCACATGGAATATTTCCCTCCTATTAACACCAGAAATTTTATCTTGAAAAAGACACCATTTGACTAGTAGCTAATAAATCTGCTCTCTTTCTCAGATGATGCCTTCAGTTTATTATTCAGAAATCCCAAGGAGAATACTCAAAATCAGTTTTTAGAATATCTCCAAAATTTTTACAGCACACTTTTACATCTGATATAAAAATTTCATTCATTACCTATCCTTAGATAAACAGAATATGAAGGTAAGACTTTAACATGTTTGTCAATCTGGAAGATTTATAATACTCTCATTACTACTGAAAGATTGTTTTACTTGTTGCTTAGTAAAATAATATAAAAATAAATAGTAGAAAGTCTTGCTATGAAATTAAAGGGTCTCATTAAATTTATCTTCAAAATAAATATGCACAGGGTGAGCAGCAGAAATAAATATACAGTGACCAGGTCAGGTCTTCCATTATCTAACTTATTTTAATGTTATCAGAAATTCTGGAAAGAAAAGCATTGAACTTTAGGTGTGAATCATCTGAAGGTTCCTGGTTACAAAGAGAGGGAAAAAAAACATCTTAAACATTCATTAAATGCCAAGTGTGAAAAATATTTGCTTAAACATCAGGAAGAAAATACACATTAAAAATAAGGGTTGAGCCCGGCTGGTGTGGCTCAGTGAATTGAGCGTCGCCCCATAGACTGAGAGGTCCCAGTCAGTGCACATGCCTGTGTTGCAGGCTCGATCCCTGGGTGAAGGGCATGCAAGAGGCAGCCGACTGATGTTTCTCTCTCACTTCGATGTTTCCATCTCTCTCTTCCTTCCTCTCTCTCTAAAAAATCAAAAATATATTTTTTAAAAAAGGTTAATGAAACCTATATAATTTTATTAACCAATGTCACCCCAATAAATCCAATAAAAGTTTAAATTTTAAAAAGTGGGTTGAATGTTAAGAAACAAAGGTTTGGGTAGAGTCGAGATTGCACCACCTGCAACTTACCTGCAAAAAAAGCACAACAAGGTTGCCCTATTTCTGCCTTAAAGTCATTAGACAACTTCTGCTGACAAAGTTCTGCTAGAGATTTGTTCAAATCATTGAGTTTCTTTAAAGCTGAAAATACAATACACATACAGCATTTAATATTTAAAAAGCACACGCAGAATTTAGATTTTTCTTTAAAGCTGGAAAATGTTTTAATCATACAATCTCAGGTACATCCCCAAACAACTATTAACTACACCAAATGCTTTTCTCTTCTCTTTATTAAAAATTGGGCCAAGAAGGCATTATCTAATCTTCTCGGTAAACCCTGTGCCAATGGTTTACTGAGCAGTGACACGGAAACAGCATTGCTGTCAGTAGACTAGAGTGTGAGCTTTGCACCTGGACAAGGAAACAGAGTACAAGCCTGTGCAGAAAGGAAAGTTACACAGAAACTGTCCTGAAGCAATATATAGTAATAACTAAACGGAGGGCACAGACAGGGTCTGCCAAGGAACTGCAAGAGGTGAGCTCTGTGTGCTAACAGTTGCTAAGAGAAGGGGAGGGTATTCCGGAAGGAAGAAATGGTTCTGAGGTAACTGTACAGAATCAAGCAGCCAAAAACACCTGGTGGGCTGCTCAGTTGTAACAAATGCACCCAAACCATGTAACATGTTAACTACAGAGGAAGCTGGGTAAGGGGTACACAGGAACCCTGTACTATCTTGGCAACTTTTCTATAACCTCAAATTATACCAAAATAGAAAGTGTAGTTTGGCAAAACAGAAAAGCTGGAAGCTGCCCGGCTGGAGTGACTCGGCTGACTGTTGTGCTGAGCACCAAAAGGCTGTTGGTTCTATTCCGGGTCAGGGCACAGACCTGGGTTGTGTGTTCGATCCTTGGTTGGGGTGCATGCGGAAGGTAGCTGATATATGTTTCTCTCCCACATCTCTCTCTCTCTCTTTCTCTCTCTCTCTCCCTTCCCCTCTCCCTCCCTCCCTCTCTTTGAGCACGTCCTCAGGTGAGGATTAAAAAAAAAAAAAGGAAGGTGAACCACTAAGAAAAACACAGAGATGGGCTTGAAAAGACAGACCATGGAGAACCTCAAAATGCCTAACAGGGTCTTAACATGAAAGAAGTAAAAAAAAAAAATTAATGTCTTTTAAATGTGTGGCAAAGTCCCATTCACAGAAATGGAAATTAAATTATAACAACTTAAAATGTTCACCTTTCAGAGGAGTCAAAACAAGCAAGTTAAAGACACACTATGAGAAAGGTGTGGGAATGACACTCACACACTGTTGTGGAAACTAGCTCGGCCGACCTCCTGAAGGGCACTGTCTCTCAAAAGCACAAGCATACATATCCTTTGACTTACTAATCAGTTTTAGGAATTTGTCCAAGTTTATATTCTCAGAATAAAATCACAGAGTACAAGGATTGTTTTAATCATAAAAGCTTGTAAACACTAATCCTTTAGTTATCCATACCACGGTTAATTAAATTAGGATAAATCCACAGTGGAATGCCATGTAACCATGAAAAAGAATGGAAACTAAAAGGCAATATGTGATCTTGAATTAGATGCTGCAACAGAAAAAGTATGTTAGTGGAAATGGAAAAGGACATCTAATGAAATCTAAATAAAGTCTGGAGTTTAGTTCATAGTGATGTACCAATGTTGGTCTCTTAGCTGTAACAAATGTACCACAATTATGTAAGATGTTAACTACAGAGGAAGCTGAGTGAGGAGTGTACTGGAACTCTGTATCATCTTCGCAACTTTTCTGTAAATCTCAAATTATTCCAAAATAGAGTATTAGAAAAAGAAGAAAGAAAACGCTATGTCAGTGGTTCTCAACCTTCCTGATGCTGCGAACCTTTAATACAGTTACTTATGTTGTGATGACCTCCAACAATAAAATTATTTTTGTTGCTATTTCATAACTGTAATTCTGCTATTGTTATGTCTTAGGTGATCCCTGTGAAAGGGTCGTTCGACCCCCCAAAGGAGTCATGACCCACAGGTTGAGAACCACTGCACTATGTGAACTGATATCCAAGATAGAACGGGAGAAAAAAGCAAACTGTAAAAATTATATAAGGACAGCACTTGACAGAAAAAGGAATATATACACTTATATAAGCATATGTATAGAGTACGTATTTCTGAAAAAATATTTAGAAAACTGAGAAAAGGAAATGGAAAAATTACTTTCCACTATGTACTCTTTTTTTAAAATACTGATTTTAGAGAGAGAAGAGAGGAAGGAAGAGGGAGAGAAGGGGGGGAGAGAAGTGTCGATGTGTTGTTCCATTTATGTATGCACTCACTGGTTGCCTTTTTTTTTTTTTTTTTTGTGGTACGTGCCCCTAGCGGGAACCGAACCTGGGACTCTCTGGTCCACAGGCCAACGCTCCAACCGCTGAGCCAAACTGGCCAGGGCATGGTCGCTTCTTATATGTGTCCTGACCAGGGATCAAACGTGCAACCTTGGCATATTGGGATGACACTCTAACCAACTGAATTATCTGACCAGGGCTCCATCAAATCCTCTTTTGTCACTTCTGAATTTTGTACTGTATGCCTGTAAAATCACCTATAAAAGTAACTAAATTTTTTTAGTGTTATCCTATATGAAAGTGGTCTATCTACTAGATGATTCTGAATAAAGAGATAACAAATCTCACAAATTGGGAGCCAGCCAGGAGCTTATTTATCTAGTTTAACATCCTCATTTGACAGAGAGAAAAACCAAGATTCAGGAAAGTTAAAGCCAATGATGTTCACCAGAATGGCGCAAGTGAGTAAGACAAAAATACAGGGTTTGTGAGCACGTGGAGAAATTAGAACACTTAAATTGACAACTGTCATATTCTCGTTGGAAACTGGCATTCACTGATCAGAGCTGAGAATATACGTATCCTTTTAAGACATGGCCAGTGATTCCACTCCTAGGAATATAATCAGCACAAACGCAGGCACACGTGCACTAAATCCGAGAGAATGCTCATACTAACGTCATTTTATAGCTCAACACTAGAAACAATCCCAACATCCAACAGGAAAAATAAATTGCAGTACATTCATACGATGGAACACTACACAGCAATACAAAACAAACTACAGTTACATGTAAAAATGGTGGCCCAGTTTTAAAAAACAATGTGAAAAAAAGCAGCAAGGCCCTGAAGAGCGTGTATTGTATAATTCCATTTATATGAAGTTCAGAACCAGAAAAAAACTAATCTATTAGTTACTAAGCTAGTATTTACTTTTGAAAGAAAGAACGGGTAGTGATGGGAAAAAAGATAAAGGAACCTTCCGATTACTGGTAATGCTTTCCTTGGCCTAGATGTTGATTATACAAGCGTTTTGACTTTGTGATAATTTATGTCACACTCTTATTTGTACACTTATTTATATGTATGTTGTATTTCAATAAAATCAACAATTAAATTTAATTTTCAAACTTAAATTTAGGAGACATTCTGTGAAATCTAAACTGGTTTCAATATAAGGAGAGATACTGGAAATACAAATTTAGAGCTTAAAATGGAATAAAAGGCAACTAAGTTTAACCAAATCTTTCTTGGAAGTACAAGTACCCCTTTGGCCCTTCTTGGGAAGAGAGCACTTTTATCCCTCACCTTGAGCTATTACCTACAATGTACAAGTGCAAGAGTCAACTTACCATCCTCTTTAAGCACGTGGCAATAGAATTCTCCAGGACTATATATCATACAGACCACAACATCTTCTGTTTGGTCAACAGCAAGTGCAACCCATGTCCACACCAATGGATTTACTTTTGTTTCTACACCCAAGGGAACTGTGAAAATAAGTGAAAATTTTGTAAAAACAAATGGTCTGAGAAATATTCTTTGGAAGAACTGAATTTCAATTATTATTTTTTTAGTGAATTTGTAGGAAAGTTTATCAGTATTACATACACTTAACCATTACTAACCTCAGTAAATTCACATTTCAAACTCATTCACATTTCTGACTTATTTTCAGCTGCCACTGACCAAGAAAACTTTCAACAAATATTCAGTTCCCAAACACACTCTTAAATGTATTTAGACAAATGCTTGATTTTAAAAGATGATAGGTACTCATCACAATTCTTTTTCAAAGTACGAGAACCCACGCATTCATGAAACCATCTGAACTCCAGACTGAACATTGTCTGATTGACATTTTACTTACCACTGGCTTCTTTCTTGTCACTGGGTTTCTCCGTCACTATCTCCTTTTCCCGGACGGCAAAGCCTGCATCTATGAGAACTTCAGTAACATTGATGTTAGGTGTCATGGATTTATCTACAAGCTCCACCAGGGAACTATTTTCCAACTTGTCCACTACTTTCACCATGATCATTGTGTTCTGTACCGTTTTTTTCATCAGACAAATCGCTTCTGGAGTCCAAATTCCTAATAATGGCTTTACTCCTAACAAATAATTTTTTAAAGGATATTAAAATACTTCTTACGGCAAGCATTAACAAATTCAGCTTTTTATTTTCACAAAGGAAAACTTAAGTAATCTGTGACAAACGATGGAACCAAAAAGTCCCATCTGAGTAGAAGGATTTTCTAAACATGAAAATAAAGGCAAAATTACAAAGTGCAAAAAGCTTCTATACTTCTATGTAAAACAAACAAAACGTAATTCCATTGATATGAAATATCCAGAAAAGCAAATCTATAAAGACAGAAAGTAGACTACTGGTTGACTAGGGAGTGAGGATTAACTACAAATGGGCACAAGAGATTTCATTTGCGTGATGGAAATGTTTTAAAACTGCGTTATGGTGATAACTGTACAATTTGATAAATTTACTAAAAATCACTGAATTGTATACCAAAGACAGTGAATTTTATGATACATATATAAATTATCTCAATAAAGTTAAGAAAATCATAAACAAAAGTACAGGCATAGGAGTACAGGAATGGGGTTGAGGGTATCAATGGGGAAAAAAAGGGGGACACCTGCAATACTTTCAACAATAAAGACAAATTTATTATTTTTTTTAATCCTCACCTGAGGATATTTTTCTATTTATCTTCAGATAGAGTGGGAGGGAGAGAGAGGGAAAGAAAGGGAAAGAGAGAGAAACACCGATGTGAGAGGGACACATCAACTGGTTGCCTTCTGCACAACCCCAACCAGGGCGGGGGACGAAATGTAACCAAGGCACATGCCCTTGGCCAGAATTGAACCTGAGACTCATTGGTCTGCAGGCTGATGCTCTACCGCTGAGCCAAACTGGCCAGGGCAAGACAAATTTTTAAAAAATATAATCCAGGAAGAAACACTGGTCCCTTACATCACTATATGAAACATCTGTGGCAAACCCAAGATTATGCTTGTACCATAAAATTTAAGACCCAAGTAACCTACAAAAAAATATTCAGCCTAACTGGTAATGAAGCAAATGAAAATAATTTCATGTTTAGTTTACCAAAACTGGCCAATAAGAAATGATATAGAAATACCTATTTGGTGCACCAATGTGTGAAGGAACTGACCACCTCCTACATTTCTAGTAGATGTGTATACTAGTTCAACCCCTTCAGTAGAACAATCACAAACATGAAAAGAAGCATACCCACTGACACCTCCATTCCTCCTAAGGACATATTTTGCAATATACCTACGTCTTGCAACCTATTTTAAGTAAATGATCTTGGGTAGGTTGTAAAATACAGTTAAAAGAAGGTTGCCAATAGCAAAATTTTGGAAATGGCATTCTTGTAATTGGTTACTAGTTAAATTAGGGTACATTTAAATAAAGGTTGCAGAAGCTAATAATTGACATGAAAAGAAGCCCTTCTGGGAGTGGGACGATTCCATATATAGCAAATTCTAAGCACACACCTGTAATGTTCTTAGTGTTTTTACAAGAGGGTTTCCCTATACCTCATGTAGTTAATAATCTTCTATGACATTAATAATGCAGGCTCCATAAATAGCAATAGAACACTCAATTTCATGACCATGGGTTCATTAAATTTTGTTTTATTACAGACAGTGTTTCCTAAATGTTCTATTAAGGATTATTTCTCCACTGAGATTAAGTTACGTCTAAACGTATTCCTTTATTTTATCAGTTAATTTAAGTTCGATTCTAATACTCCTACTTGAGGGTTTAAAATATTTTAAAAATATGGGGACCATAAAAATTTCATACCTGCCAGCACACACTTTATTGCTTGCATTGGCAATTCCAACAACTTTGGAGTTATGGGACACAGTCTTTTCAAACTAAGGATCTCAAAGTTTCCATAATCTACATATCCGACCAGTACAGATTCTTCAGAAGCATAAGCCAAAATGGAGGCACGGTACCACTGATCATCCTCTGAAAAAAGGAGAGTTGGTCTCAAATGATCTGCCAATGTACATGTGAACAAAACCGTTTCCACCCAAATTTAGAAATGGTCACTTATAAATTTTAATATCAAGCTTCTAGCTTTAACAGAAGCCTTCAACTACTCCTACAAGATCACCTTTATTCTTACATGACTAGACTACTCATGCCCTATTTCCATGTCTTGTCTCCCCAGTAGACAGCTCATTCAGAAAAAGAACATGTTTGGTCATGCGAATCCACAAGGTCTTGATCAACATATGGACCATTTGCTAAGGCATCTAGCCGGGCTAATTTCAGAATACCTGGCAATATGAGTCACCCAGACTCCACCAGCTGAGCCATCATTTTCCTGGAGGCCTACTTGTATCTCCCACTCATGAGGCCACTGACCTCCCTTCCGCGGAGAACAACGAGACGCAGTTATCAAAGGCCAGGCCTGTGCAGCTACAGAGCCTGTGCCAGGACAGCTCTGTGCTTCCAGGCACTCTTGCTTTTCCAAAGAAAACTGGTGAATTCATGACCCGGGAGGTTCCACATTCGCATTTTGATGTAAACAGAATTATCTGCACCAGTCTCCAAAGACTGCAGGGCTGATAAAACAATCAAAACCTCCTTCACCCACCCCACCCTCACAGTCAAGGGCCCTCCTCCCTTATACACTCTGATTTGGTTTAACTGGACATATTGAGAAACATACTTGGTGTACTTTAATACTCAAGTTTCCAATAGAGCCATCCACTACAAACTGAAGATCCCATCTCATCCGTATTTACTTAATTGTAAGTAAAAAATTCAGTACTTCTCTTTCCATACCTGAGAACTGAGCACAGCAGATGTCACCGATGGTTGGATAAAAATCCGAGCGTGGAGACATCTGACCACAGTACTCGCTTAGGGATGCCTGAAGTTCAGCGAGCTTATCTGTAGATACAGATCACATCTTAAACAGAAGAAATACAAGTCTACACATTATCTTCATTTCTGCATGTTGAATCTCTTGAAGCATGTTATCTTGAGAGCACAAATTGAGAAAACTGACTTACGTCCACTTTGTAGTTTCTGACAAAAGAAGTCTTCTGGAGTCTGAATGTGGGAAACCACACCACAAAACTCATCACCTACATTCAAAGTTAACACTTTGGGGATTAAGTCTCTTCTGTCCACAACAATTTTGTCTTCAGCTGTCATTTTTCCAATATCTTTAGGCTCACCTTATCAGAAAACAAAAAAATAAATCATGTTGGTTTCATTAACCCAATTTTCCATTTTCAGGCCCAACCATGCTCTTTACGCCTCTAGGACTTAACACACACTGTTCTCTGCCCTGCACCATCTTCCATCCCTCAAAGAACTCCCAGTCCTCCAGCAGCCTGAGAATTCCCTGCTCGGTATGGTGTTGCCCAATGACACAGTTCTCAGGACATATCCCTGCTGCTAAAGGGCACATGACTGTAACTGGGAAAGGAGAAAGCAGACTACAAGAAACAACATGTAAGACTAGGCAATGAGAAAATAAAATGCCCATAGCAAAACTTCTTGGTTCTCATTAGACTAAATGAAAAGTACACACATGTAAATAAAAAGTAAAAATGTAAAAAGAAACACCATCTGCCTGGCCAGTGTTGCTCAGTGGTTGAGCATCAACACATGCACCAAGAGGTCACCAGTTCGATTCCCGGTCAGGGCACATGCCCAGGTTGTGGGCCAAATCCCCTGTGGAGGTCATGGTCATGCAGGAGGCGGCCAATTGATGTTCTCTCTCACTGATGTTTCTGTCCCCCCCCCCCTTCCTCTCTCTCTAAAAATCAATAAAGAGCCCTGGCTGGTCTGGCTCAGTGGCTAGAGAATCAACCCGCAGACCTGGGAGCCCCCAGTTTGGTTCCTGCTTAGGGCACGTACCTCGGTTGCAGTTTGTCCCTGGCCCCAGTTGGGGTCGTGTGGGTGGCAACCACATGATTTGTCTCTCTCACGCTGATGCTTCTCTCTTCCTCCCTCTCTCCCTCCCACTCTAGCTGAAGAAAAATGCAAAAATGTCCTCAGATGAGGATAAAAAAAATAAAAATCAGTAAAGAAAAAAATTTTTTAAAAAACAAGAAATACCATCCTACTAGAACAGAATGTTATAGCCTGTTTATTATTGCTAGAATGTTAATAAAGAAAAACAAATTAAAGAAATGTGAGCTAAAATCCCTTAACCCCAAGTGTTATATTTAGTACTTTGTAATCTCCGATGATCATCATGTCAAGAATTAATCTGAAAGACAGAGAAGAAAACTAGGCAGGGAAGAATGAGATTAGAAATAATGTATTACTAAATAAAAACGTAACATCTTACGTGCATAAAGTTTATAGAATGGCTAACATTTCATTAATCTAACAGTCATAGTTGTACTTTTTCTGTTTAGTAGAGAAGATATTCTTCAATAACTGAAGTCACTAAACTGCTCACTATTAATGTGTATACTCACTTTGATCTGTACTTTGCTTCGTAGAATTTTGTACCTTAGGTACCAAGCCATATCCCATTTCCACAAGCACATGGTCTAAGAGTTTTCCTAAAAATGATTAGTATACATACTATATATTAAGGAAAAGCATAAATACAAGACAAATCAGTCATAATTACATGATTTAGAGATTATAACTATCAATACACTGGCATATGTCTTACTAGTTCAGTTTCTATGTGCAAAATATGTTTTAGTAATGCTCAGCTTTAAAAACTGAGGCAGAATTCTCATCATCACTTGACAGAAAATGTAATAAAAAGATTTTACTTCAACATTTTGATTAACATGAAAGATTTAGTGTCACCTTACTGGTGTGTTTAGAATGAAAACCAGTTAAGAGGAAAAAATGAATTCAAGACATAAGACTACTTCTTGTCAAACATAAAGTAAGGCTGAAACAAGAGTTAGCCAGCACTTCAAGTTCTCTGGAACAATATCCAAAAGCTGTAGTCATTATATGAAACACACATACCAATGAAACAAAACATAGACGTTATACTTAATTTCACAATAAGATTAACTGCACTTTCTACCAAGTCACCAACCGATGCTGAGTCTCTAGAAGAGTAATACGTGGGAAACTGAGAGGCCATTACAAGCGCACTGTAAGAGGCCACCTCTAAAACAGAACTAAAGCCAGAATGAAAGAACAGGACTCCAAAGTGTCTCCACTTCCACAACTTGAACTCTGTGTACGTACAGTCTCAATATTAACAAAATACAGTTCTGCGAAGATTGTTCAAAGAAAAAATGATAAAAATGAATGAATTCATAGAAAAATTTCCGAATTTCTCCATAAAGGAGCAGAAATCCGTAAATATTATTATGGCTATATTAAAAAGATAATATAGTTACCCCCATACTAAGTCTAGATGTAGCTTTTTAATCCACTCAGGTCTATAAATTTGTGCCTGTGTTAACAAACTGCCAATCAGTTTTCATTCACAGTCTGAATGACCCCAGAGCAGAGCTTACTTGGCCTCAATTCATGTTTCTATTTCTTCTCTGAGAAACAGGTGGAGACTAAATAACATATTAAACACTCCATTTAAGAAGAAATATTCGGGTCTTACCTGAACTTGGCAGTATAACATCCACAGCAAAGGTAACCACTTCCTCTTTAAAGATGTTGACAATCTTTACAGAGCAGTATTGCTCTATTAACAGTGATTTAATAGTTTTGATACAATCACAGCTCCAATTCCCCTCTGCTGGGATAACATCAGCCACAAAGCACTTTATAGCCTGAAAGATTTTGTGCAAGTTATTTTTAAAAAATCAGTATCTGAAAATGACTTTTTCTAATTAATTATGTGAAAATTTTAAAAGATGTGCTTCATGCATAAAAATTATCAAGATAAACAATTTTACATATAATTATTTTTTCCTTGGGTACTCTATTCACAATGCTTTGACTTTGGGGACTTGAAGCTTGAGATGATGAAAGGATAATAATTATCCCTCAATTACACATCACTTCAGGTCACTTTCAAATAGTGTAATGAACATAAAAATGATTATTTTTAAAGAGCAGATTGATAAGATGTGCCTAAAATGCTAACAGTTTTTCTCATGAGGTAGTACTTCGTCAAGAAAACCAATGAATGTTTATCGAGATAGAAAAAGATGTGCCAACAGGTACTCATGGCAGAATGGAACAAGCAAATAGTGTGTCCATCAAAACATTAAAAACAGCTCCTTTGGGACATTTTAGGAATTTAGAAAGTAAAAGAGACTCACACAAGGAGGAAATAAGTCAATGTTTCTGTTTAGTTGCTGAATTCTGTTTATTGGAATTATTTCTTCATTTCCATAATCAATATATAAGACTTGTGCCTTCTTCTGTAGCATATCAACATCTTGTATTATTACTCTGTTCCAGGTCTGAAATGAAATAAAATGGTACTCTACTTCAAAACAGCATTTCACAATCTTTTCTTTTTAAAAAATTTCTGATTTATTGTTCACAGTATTACAGATGTCCCCCATTTTCCCCTCCTTCCCCCTGCCCACCCAGGCCTTCCCTCTATTGTCTGTGTCCATGGCTGTGCCTACATGCATATATGATCTTCTTTGGTTAATCTCTTCCAGTTCTCCCCACCCCCCAATCCTCTGAGATCTGTCATTCTGTTCCATGCATCCATGTATCTGGACCTATTTTGTTCATCAGTTTATTTTGTTCATTAGATTCCACAGGTAAGTGAGATCATGTGATATTTGTCTTTTTCTAACCGGCTTATTTCACTTAGCATAATAATCTCTAGGTACATATATGCTGTTGTAAAGGTTAAGAGCTCCTTTTTTACAGCAGTATAGTATTCCATTGTGTAAATGTACCACAGCTGTTTTATCCACTTGTCTACTGACGAGCACTTGGACTGTTTCCAGATCTTAGCTATTATAAATGACACTGCTATGAAGATAGGAGTGCATATATTCTTTCTGATCGGTGTTTTTGGGATTGTTAGGACATTATTTCCAGACCTGGAATTGCTGGGTCAAAGGCAGTTCCATTTTTAATTTTTTGAGGAAACTCCACACTGTTTTCCACAGTGGCTGCAGCAGTCTGCATTCCCACCAGCAGTGTACTAGGGTTCCCTTTTCTCCACATCCTCGCCAGCACTTCTTGTTAGTTGATTGATTAATGGTAACCATTCTGGCAGGTGTGAGGTAATACTTCATTGTCATTTTATTTTTTTTTTAAAAGATATGTTTTCAGTGATTTTTTTAGAGAGAGGACAGGAGAAAGAGAAATATCGATGTGAGAGAGAAACATTGATCATCTGCCTCCTGCACACCCCCTACTGGGGATCAAGCCTGCAACCTAGGCATGTGCTCTATCCCGGAATTGAACTGAGACCTCTCAGTCCATGGGATGATGTTCAAGTCACTGAGCCACACCAGCTGGGCCCTCATCGTAGTTTTAATTTGCATCTCTCTGATGACTAGGGACATTGAGCATTTTTTCATTTGTCTATTGGCCATCTGTATGTGCTTTTTGGAGAAGGGTCTATTAGCATTTCACAATCTTAGGTTTAAAAATTCTCAATCTATAGAACATGCAAAGGAAAGCTAACTGTTCTATTCCAGGGCATTCAATTAACAAGTTAACATAATTCTCTAGTAATCTTGCTAGAAATCCCTGAAATTGTCTAATTAGGCCACTTTACTATGCACAAATATCGCCAAACTCTTCTAGCCCAGTAGAATCTATGACACACTGATACCTCGACTACACAAATAAACACAAGCTCTAAGACTAGCAACCAGCCTGCAACCAGCACTTGAGAAGCGCACAAACACAGCTGAGGAGGGCTTGCACAGGGACGAAGTAACCAAACAGGGCCTGGAACGCTGACAGAGGAAGAAAAACAGAAGTCTGACCAGTCTCACTTTTAAGCCATCTAATGCATCATTAAAAGCTCTGGTGTCAAGTTGATATAACCAAAGTAAATTAAAACATCTTATTAAATAATTCATTTCTATAGAGGTTACCTGGTCAACAGTGTACTTGGCAACACAAACTTCCCCCTTAACAGGTATATAATCGCCCTCATGCCCTGTATTTGCATACATTTCCTTTAAGCTTGCAGAGAGTTGGTTCATGTATTCTAGAACTTCTGAAGAATATAACTGCACATAAAAGTCACTTGGATCTTTGAATTCAGTAATTGTGCCCTTCAAGATAGAAAAGATGTTAACAATTCACTGGGAACACAAGCAAAAATTAATTTCTTAAAAGCTTTAAAACTAAGATATAATAAGTACTGCAGACAGTTTCTGCAATTTTTATCAATTTTATCAGATTAAATTTTGTAGCTACCTTATGAATTCATATGTATAAAACAAGAAAATCCATACTTTTTTCAATCTGTCTATGAAGATTAAACAACAAATACCTTTATTTCCATGCTTTTCCTGAGTTGTAGACTTCTCAAATCAGAAAACATTATTTTATCAGCACAAATGGCTGTTTCTTTAGTAACTCCAAATGGACAGTCACTCTGGTTTAAAAAAAACAAACACAAAAACACATAAGTGAGTTACATACAAGTACATGTTTCAGTGATACCTCGGCCATTATTTTGCTGGAATCAAAGTTAAAATACCCTGACTCTGAGTCTTGAATAAGAAAACAGAGAAAGAGCATACACCTTCAAAAGTTCCTAAAACCCACTGTCCACGGGCCACGTACACAGCATGGAATCACCCGAGAACCATGCCATGATATTGAAGATAATGTTGAGTTTATTAAAAGGCGGGGGCGAGGGGTAGGCAGGTTAGTTTTTAAGCTTGCACTTGGTAACATTTTTGAAGGAATAACTACTTGAGGAAGTCAGATTATATATATATATATTTTTTACAAGGTCTGAGAATTTGTAGTTTGTTATATTTCAGCACCGCGGCCCCTGGGAGGAGACTGCCTTTCTGGCCTCTGTCTTGGTACCCCTCCCCAAGGACAGGGGAAACAGCCATCCTGTCTTGGAACAAGACCTCCCCTCGCCCCACTGCACAGAACAAAACTCCCAGGGACCCCACTGAGACGTGAACAGACACATTTGTTTTTAAGTACCAGCCAGAGAAGGCTAAAAATAATCTATAAATGATTTGGACACAACCAATTTCTTCAGATTATGAATGATTTAGCCCATACAGTTGTCTAAACAGAAGAAAGGTATTAACAGAAAAAAAAGCTCATCAGATAACTGGGCTCCTTTAGAACCCAGCAGAGAAGGCTAGAGAACGTGTGAATGCAGGGACTGCCAAGCAGGGACTGTCTCACTAGATCCAGTGGTTTTATTACACTGAGACACAGCCATCGCAAGTTCTTTTGCAGAGAAAGGCTGGGCATACACAACAGTCACCAAATCAATCACTAGGGTGTGCAGATTTATTCACCAGGAAACCTGTTCTTCAAAGAACACTGGTGAAATGTAGAAATAAGTCTCTATTATACCTCATTTTTCACTTCCATATTCTTTGTTTCATAAGGTGATTTATTATCTTCAAGTTTGTGAAAACTGAAATAAAACAAACGATTATAAATACTTGTAGTATAGAGCTAATTAAAAATAAGGGCCACAATTACATTACATTCTCAATCAGTACAACCCAGAAAGAGCAAAAGAGCTTCCAGAGAGAATCACAGTAGGAACAACTGTCTAAGCCATCGTCCACCCTGCGCATAGTAGTGCTTCTTCCAAAAGCCGCCTAACAAAGGGAGATAGATAGGCACAATCTCCAAGCCTCAGTTTTCTTATCTGTAAAATGGAGACAATCCCTACATCAACTAGACAGTTTTGAGGATCAAATGGTGTTTTGTAAACTGGTAAATAGTACTCAAGACTTACGTATTTCAAAATCACAATCCAAGAAGCACTGTGACAGTTTCATCTTATTAAAATTCAGTGAAGTATACATAATTAAAAGTCAGAGGTTTCTAAGCTCAAATCATTAAAAAAAAGCAAAGTCAGCTCAAGTTTTAAATCTTAATATGTCCAACCTAATAGAATCATATTCATGAAAACTCAGAAGTTTGTGGAGTTGCTGTTCACTTCATATTTGCACACTTTATGTTACATCTCAGTAAATAAGAACATAGTTGTGGCCTGCTTACCTGATTTGATCCTTATGCTATCAGAAAAAAAAAAAGTTGAAATATTCTCTCTAATGAATAAAAACACACACACACTTACTTTTGCTGCACGGGTTTGCACACGATGCTATGTGCTGACCAGTCTCTTCTCTGGCATGCTATGGAGCAATAGTATGTCTGCTTGCACTGTGAACACCTCTGTGACCCTACAGAACACAGCCCATAATATTTTATTCCAAATATCTGTTGCCCGGAGCAAGACAGTTTCAAAGACCAGAGATATCAAACACCATTCTATTAATTACATCAAGATTATTTGAAGAGGCTTATGCTGTTTATAACTAGATATTAAGATTAAACTTTTGAAACTCTTTCAAAACGCAGAGAAAGGGGGAGACAGACTAGAACATAATTGACTTTTCTATTTTTTTTATTTTTTATCCTCACCCGAGGACATTTTTTCATTTTTTTTGTTCAGATAGAGCAGGAGGGAGGGAGGGAGGGAGGGAGGGAGGGAGAGAGGGAGGGAGAGAGAGAGAGAGAGAGAGAGAGAGAGAGAGAGAAACATCGACGTGAAAGGTACACATCAAGTGGCTGCCACCCGCACGACCCAACCAGGGCCAGGGACAAACTGCAACTGAGGTACGTGCCCTTAACAGGAACCGAACCTGGGTCTCTCTCGACCGCAGGCCGACGCTCTAACCACTGAGCCAAACCGGCCAGGGCCGACTCTTCTAAAGTAGAGCCCAGAACACATGTTATAAAAGGAAACAAAGGAAATAGAAAATCTGTGGCAGTGAACACAGACTAGTGCAAGCAGACTGATGTGGCTTATCTTGTGCTGTTAAAAACATACAGAACAGCCCTGGCTTGGTAGCTCAACTGGACAGAGCATCATCCCAATACTCTGAGGTCACAGGTTTGATCTCTGGTCTGGGCACATACAAAAGGCAACCAAGTGATGTTTTTCTCTCACATCAATGTGTCCCCCCCTCCCCCGCCCCCCGCCTTCCCCTCTCTCTAAAATCAATAAGCATGGCCTCAGGTGAAGATTTTTTAAAATCCTATCAGTATCCAGGCAGAAAAAACAAGTTATCTAAAATCAAAGAAACAACAACAAAACCAAGCTGGCCTCAAATGCCTCTACTCTAAAAGAAATAGAAAAAAACAGAGGAGCTAAATGTCCAAATAAGCATATGAAAAACTGCCCAAGACCATTGATTATGATAGAAGTGCAAGTTAAAACCACAATGAAATAAAACCACAAAAAGGGCTAAAATTAAAAAGATTGAAAACCCCTAATGTAGACGAACATGTGAAGGAATCAGAACTTATTACCAATGGAAATGCAAAAGGAGACAACTACTTTAGAAAACGCTTTGGCTGTTTCTTATAAAGTGAAACATACCTTTTGGACTCAGCACTTCTCTTCCTAGGTATGTACCCAAGAGAAATAAAACATGTCCACACAAAGGCTTGTGCAAAAATATACAGAACTCTATTCATTAACAGTCAAAAACTGGACACACCATAATGTTCCAACAAAAGAACAGATAAATTGTGTTATAATCATACAATGGAATACTACATAGCGACTAACACAAAAATAATTAATGTACATGTAATAACATGTATGAATCTCAAAAATATTATTCCAAATGAAAAAACCTTTATACGAAAGAGCCCATACTAGATGATTCCATTTATATGAAGTTCTGTAGATTTTAATTTATACAAAATCCTGGCAGAATTTATCTGTGATTATAAAAAATAGCAGTTATTCCTAGGGAGTATGGTGACTGGGAAGTGGTCTGGGGAAATTTTCTGAGAACAAGGAAATATTCTATATCTTGGTGGGATGTGAGTCTGTGCATTTCAATGCATGGAAGTTTTGTCTGAAAAAAAAAAACTATAAAAATAAAGTAAAGAGGAGGAAAGTATGGATGAACAAATGGTAGAATGCTGATAGCTGCTGAGAGATGGGTAGATGACGTATATATGTTATCCCATTTATACTTGTTACACTTTAAATTTTCTGTAATCAAAATATTTTTCCAAGTGTGAATAATCTAACACAACTGAGAACAACATGCTTACCAAACAGCCCACAGCGATGGCAAGTAGTTGATCGAAGAGGAGGTCCTAAGGATTTGAAGAGCGCTGGATTATTTATGGACAAGGAATTCCCAAGCAACTTGTGTATTTTTTTTGACTTTGCAGGAGACACATTATTGCTAGGCTTCTATTTAAAAAAAGAGAGAATAGCAGTATTAAAACCTGGCAGTACATTTAAAAAATACTAGATTTGTAATTTCCTCTTCTGGGGAGATACTATGTTTCCCTCTTCTTCCCATGAAGTACAACTAAAATCCCTGGACTTACATGTAAAACAAACATAACCCTACTCTAAAAAAAGGCAGCAGACAGCTAGGAACCCTGGGACACCAGAATGATATGGTGATGGGTTCCCTGAGGGGTTTTTTGCCTCATATATTCCACAGTACTGGAGAAATCAGCAACCCAGAAACACTAAAAGGTGCAGCCCTGGCCGGTTTGGCTCAGCGGTTAGAGCGTTGGCCCATGGACCAGAGAGTCCTGGGTTAAGATCCCACTAAGGGCACGTACCTTGGTTGCAGTTCGTCCCAGGCCCCAACTGGGGTCGTGTGGGTGGCAACCAGTCAATGTGTCTCTCTCACATCAATGTTTCTCTCTCTCTCTCTCTTCCCCCCTCTTTCCCTCCTGCTCCATCTGAAGATAAATGCAAAAATGTCCTCGGGTGAGAATTAAAGAAAAAAGGTGCAGACAATAAAAGCCCCAAACAAAAGCTTACTCTCTCTAGCTAAAAGAACAGGAAAGGGGCAGTCCAGCAAGACAAAAAACTTTTATCAATAACTACTCTACTCCAGACAAACACCACAGAAATAGCTGTGGCCCCACTTCCACCAGCAAAGGCGGAGTGGGTAGCAGAGACTTCCACTTTCACTAGGCTACAATAAGGTACCCATCTGCTGTGGCCTGTTTGGCTCAGCGGATGGAGCGTTGGCCTGCGGTCCAGAGAGACCAGGGTTCAGTTCCCGCTAGGGGCGTGTGCCTCAGTTACGGTTTGTCCCCGGCCCTGGTTGGTCCTACGGGTGGCAGCCACTT